CGTGCTCGCCTGCGACCTGGACATGGCCATGATGCACTGCCTGCTCTCCAGGGTACGTACCCCACCCTGCCACGTCCCCTGCCCCGCCCCGCTCTTCCCCGTGTACGTGACAGCCGCGCTGGTGCTGCACCGCGCGCCCGCCGTGCTCGCCTGCGACCTGGACATGGCCATGATGCACTGCCTGCTCTCCAGGGTACGTACCCCACCCTGCCCCGCTCCGCACTCTCCACGTACGTATGTCCTACGTTCTGCCTCGCCCCACCCATTCCATTCTCTGGTCACGTTCATAAATGACGATATATCACCTGCTATAAAGGTAATTAAATGAAATTTGTACTTCTTTTTAAATACCCCAAAGTATGATTATTTTTCTACAAGATATTTTTACTAATATTTTGTAATGTAATTAGTGTATTATAAAACCGTTTCAGTTACCAGACGACTTGCCTTTCGAAGACATTCTGGTGACCGCTAAGAAGCTATACGAAGATAACGACCCCACAGACCTGGAGGACGAGGTCGATGCATTGGAGAGGAGAGAGTGAGTTACACGGATTATTTCACCTAATATTACACAAATATATACTAATCATAAAATAAATGTAATGCAGACAAAGCCACGGGAACTAACCTTACTCAAATTATTTAAGCAAAAGATACATCCGTCGCCACTGACAACTGTCATGCTAGTATAATTAAAAGTAGTAGTATAATTGCATTTAAAAAAAAAAAGGAACTCACTAATGATATAAGGATTACGCAACAAATAAATAAATAAAAAAAGACAAAAGGAAAACAAACTGTGCAAAAAAGAATACGGACCAAGAGTCTGCAGAAGTTGATAAATAAAAAAAAAGCAAAAGTTTATATGGATGGATGGATATTTGTTAGATCTCGATTTACTATGCCATAATAGAGCATAATACAGAAGATAACATAGCCTACCTACGTTTCTTATAACTTCACAGACAAGTTCGCGGGCTAAAGCTAGTATATTAACTGTTGTGATATGTGTGTAACTTGTGTACAGAGAGGAGCAGCGCCGGCTGGACGAGGAGCGTCTCCGGCAGCGGCGCGTGGAGCGCGCTGGCCGCAGCCGCGCCGGCGCTGGCATGCTGGCGCGCCTCCGCCGCGTGCTGCCGCGCTCCCCGCTGGCGCGCGGCGCGGCGCTGGCGGCGGCGGCGGCGCTGCTCGCCGTCTACGCGTACTACAGACCTGATCTCTTCACCAGGTAGCGCCGGGGGTACTCACTTATTATATTCGCCATGTAACTGACAGCTGACAGCTGACCGCCATCTTGATGACGTCACTACAGCGCTAGTGTCTGTGGCCGGTGATGGACGGTACTAAAGCTCTTATAGAAGCTGTCATACATTGACAGCCGCTGTCAAATTGACAGTTCTGTTGAATTTATATAGTTTGTGGTACAGCCTTGAAGCCTGCAATTAATGGTTAGAATAGTTTATCTGTAATTCGGCGTAGTTACTGTTGTATGGAGATTGTATGATGTTTTAGTATTACTTATAGGAGACTGCTTTTGTATTGTATGATCGTGTATGCTTGTTTAATGAATTGTAAATGTTAACTAAACACTTTAACTGATTTGTATATCTAAGTATTTATTAAGCTTATTTAAAAAATCACTTTCCTCTTTACGATAATACTTTAAAAATCTGAATAAAACTCACAGACACAGACTTTAAAAAAAAAAGAAAATACTCTGAGATGCAAATGTTTTAAAAAAACCCAGTGTAAAAACAACATGCATACGTTAATATGGCAAATTCTATCACAAAATTCTCTAATAGCTATTTAATTTGTCCCTTAGTGACCGATAGTCGTTTTAGAGTTGTATGAATGAAATTATCTGCATATATGTTGTTTGTTTTCCTTTTTATTAAAATGTGATATTAGAACCTTTACTTAGCTTTATGTTTATTTATTTTATTTAATAATTTTATTCAAAAAAGTTTAATCTTCTAATATCGTAATTAAATTAATAAATTAATTTCGGTACCTATTTTTTCATTGAAAAACAAGCTTGATCTAGAAATGTAACTTTTATTTTTTTTTGTTGTTCCTGATTTATTTCGTTTAATATTCAGTTTGGTTTATTAATATAAATAAACATGTTTCTTTGAAATGATAACTTCATAGTTGTAAGTGTAAGGCATTTAATTATAAAATAAGTTTGTCAGTGTATTAACTTTAAGTTGGGATTAAGTGATGCACAACTTGTTTACTAAAGTAGTATTTAGATGTTCATGATTTGTAACCTCCTGTATATACGCTGGTAATTCTAATTTATTTAAGAAAATGTTTATTCCATAAAATAAAGTCTGCTATCACAAAATTATTAATTTTCGTTGAAATGTGGGTAGTTTAATAATTGTATGCAAGTGAATGAAGTTACACAAGACATTAGTCATCTAAGTTGTGTTGCATTTTTTGTATTAAATTAGGGCCTAATTTGTATATAAGAGGCATGTATTCAGCACATATATCGTTATATGGAACGGAGAGATCTTGAAAATGTTATGTTAATAAAATAACGTTAAATCATTTATTTGTATGAAATCCAGTTATTTGTGATAGGTAACCTTTAAAATGAATATTTCCATACTAAAATGTGTAATATCACAATGTTTTAAAACAGTTGAATAAATAATGGCTTTTACATTTATGGTGAAATCACTTTTTTATTAAAAAAAATTGTCTAATCTATGGAATGTTCTAGATTGAACTGTTTTACCGACACGACTGTCGATAAAACAGTCTGAAATTAAATTAGTTTTTTGCACGAGAAAAAGTTGATTTCGCCACAAGAATTACTGCCGTAGATACGTTGAATAATTGTTATTATTGTTATAATAATGGAATAGTATAATGAAATAGAAAGTACTGTCTTGTAATGACATTGTCGGTGTCCGGCAGACGGCGCTGCTGTCGAGTTTACACATTACATACTTTATTACTGACAACGGCTTTTATTCGATTTTTTTTGTGATAATTGAAGTTTATCTCTTCCAAAAATACCAAATATCATATAAATAAAACAAATACCCCATTTTATTTTTTGTTTATTTTAAGTTTGTTTTTAAATCAAAATCAAAACCTGTTTTTTTGTAAAATTTTCAGAAGACGCGCTGACAGTCCGGACTTTGAGGGATTTTAGGAAGCAAATAAAACTATTTTTTTGTACAAATATTATATTTGGTTTTCATTACGTTAACACTCGCTTTAGTGACGGGGAAATAAAAATAACCAAAGCAAATACAAAAATGTTGATTTAAACTTATAAATAGATAATTTAATATTTAATTGATTACATAGAGTATTGAAAAAAATACAAATCACAATTTTTGCAGCTGAAAACACTGGCAAGAAAAAATCTAAAGACTACTTTCTACCTTTTTATTTTTAACTACTAGAAAGTATTATTTTCTTAAATATGTTTTTTTTACGTTGAGAATTATATCTAAATATACATTTACTTAAAATTGTAGTTGTTTATTATAATATTTGGTGTGTGAGCGTAAAGGAATCAATGTGACTTTAAACTTATTATAAAAAACATTATGCGAGCATAATATTGTAATAACTGTTTTCACAGCCGCGGAAGTTGCATATAGAAAGACGAGTTAATCTGGCCCGGTGGGGAAAAAAATGTAGCTCACTAGCGCCACTCCGTAAATATCCAAAAAGTCTTGAAAGATTAATTGCACTTTAGTTGTGTTTTTATGACAATTTCTTTACTTAAATAGATTTTTATTTTATTATAGGTTTATTGCTATGTCATGCTTGACAGAAAATAGAGCAATAAAGCTTATCTGAGAGTAGATATGCTATCTAGCCCGGTATGAAGCGCATATTGCAGGCAGTTCTTAACACTAGGAATGGTATAGCAAGCGCCTGCAACTTTTCGTGGAGCAACGGACAATTGATTACTGTCTTGGATTATGAATTTCATTAATCCTCTTTCAAATCATCGCAATGTGTTTCCAAAAATTATAATCAGCAAAGTACACGCTTTCCCTCCTAGCAAAATATGTTATATTTTAATTATATCGTAACATTTGCACATAGAATATGACATAACATAAGAATAAATTAAAAAAAAAAACATTACAGTCACAGTTTAAAAAATCTTGTAACACTTTTAAATTGACAAGAGCGCTGGTGAGCTATCATAATGTAGTCCCGTTTATGACCAAAGGGCAGATATTCTTGTCGATCTATAACCACTGACCTTTAGAAACGGATAGGCTATTGGGTTTCTCCATGCGACTTACGATTGATCGCGATGGTGAGGATTCGAACTATAGATAATTAACTGTCAACAAACGCTATCAAGGCAGAATTAATTAAAAAGATTTCATTCCTAGGTTACCCATCCATTTAATATAGATCAGTGTTTTACACATAACTTCGACATTACATGCCTTCTAACAAATATAGTACAAAGTTACACTTATACTGAAAACGGTAACTATTTGAAAAATATAGAAGCCTGCATTGAAATAATTATTTTTTATATTCATGAGAACAATTTAAGTTTCAATCAAAAGAAATAAAATGAAACTTTAATTTTACAATCACTAAAATAATTGCAAATAATAAACGTGTAAATATTGCACACAATTTTTTTTACAAATTTCACTAACTTAAATAAACACTAACCGCAAAATGTTTTAAAACAATCTTGAGCAAATACTTTATAATCAAAAATCAATTTAAATTGCATAACACAATGAAAATTTTGAGTATTTTATGTTAAAAAAATTAACAATTTCCAATCACGTAAAACATGATTATTTTTTATTCAGATATTAAAAATTATTGCTTACAAACTCCCTTTAAAAAATTATGCATCACTTAATAACCGCTAGTTAAGTGGGAGGTTTTATTTAAACTAAATAATTAATAAGCGTTAAAAAGGACATTACAAGAATCTTAAATCACATGGAAGACATACTAAATAAGTAACTCTGTAAAATAATGAAAATTGAGTATTTTTTAAATATCTTTTGTTTTCAAGGTCACGAATACATTTCGTCTTTTATTTTTAAGCGACTTGACTTTTTATACAATGTTTTAGAGAGAGCTACAAGAGAGCATTTTTATGTTCCTTTTCTCTTAAATTCTTAAAGTTGCACTTAAAATATATTAAAAGTAACGAGTAAAGTGTTTAGTTTGAATATCATTGTATGAAGTTGGCATCAAATGCGACAGGCGGTGTAATTACGTCGGTGGTCAGATGTGGGTAGTCTGAAAAATGGATTACGACTGAATACTGAAACGTCATTTAAATATGTAACAGCATCTTAAATGTAACTTCGAATTATTTTCCTTATATTAGTAATAAAAGTAATATTTAGGTTTCGTTTTTTTCGAGACGAAAATGGTAATTAAAGTCCTTCAACAATCGAGTCGAATTTCAGGTAGGTCAGCAATGTTTACAAAAAAAGAAAAATCATAATATTGCCCTCGAAGTACGGATCAAAAGCTAAAAAAATCCTGTCACGTCACAAAATGCGTTCGAAAACGTTAAGGTATAATATGGCTACAGTTATTTCTCTCAAATTATGAACAGATGTTATATATATTGTGGCATTGTGAGTTGAAGGCAGGGCACTGCCCCATACGCCCATGCTACCTGCGGTCAGTGGCGCAGCACGGTGAGGATGTAGCGCAGCACGCGGGGGTCGTGCAGGATGCGCAGGTGCTCTGCGCCGGGCAGCGGCAGGGTCTTGACGGGGCGGCGAGCGTTGCGCGCGCCCCCCGCCTTGCCCCAACGCGCGCAGGCCTCCAGCGAGCGCAGGTTGACGGTGCCGTCGCCGTCGCCGCCCGCCAGCTGCGGCGACCCGTCCAGCCACGTGCCCGGCTTGTACACCAGCCTGACATCCCACACACTACATCTATCTATCTGCTGTTTTCGATGCCCACGATACAGGCATTGCCTAGTGTGGGCATCACCAGATTAATCATATATTAACCACAATTTGTATTTATCTTTTAATTGGTAAACCTGTAATTGTAATTGTAAATCTCTTATTTTTCAATAAATTATTTCTATTTCTATACTAATATTATAAACTAACATTTGTATTTTTGTATATATTGTTAGGAACAAAATTAGTACCGTGCTGTAGAGTTGGCGCAACTCTAGATTATCGGTACAAACGGCACGACCCTAGCTGACAGCTGTCAATGTCACTAGAAGTATGGATAGATTGGCGCGTAACTTGAGCCTTGACAAGAAGTATTGTTCTGAGTTAAAAGCGACAGTATCAATTAAATAATAAAGTATATATCTCAAAAATTAATGGGCCGTCAACAATTCTTTCACCATTTAAAAGCAGTATCAGTAACATAGGCTATATTTTTTAATTTCACGCTTGCGAATTCGACGAGCAACAGCTAATCTTACTAATATTATAAATGCGAAAGTTTAGATGGATCTTAGAGTTTGTACTATAAACGGCTGAACGGATCTCGATGAAATATGGCATAGACGTAGATGATACTCTAGAAGAACACTTAGGTTACTCACTTTTGTTTTTTTTTATGCCACGCGGTCGGACTCGCGGGCGAAAGCTAGTGTATAATAAAATTGCACTATGTGTATGTAATATAGAAACAAAAAAAATCAGATTTCGCGACGATAATAAATTGATGTTGTGTTTCAAGTTTTAAGATCGATTTGCCTTGGATTTTGTAATGTAGGTGTGTTAATGAAACGGCGGTTGGTACTGGACTGATTTATTATTAGCAATACTGACGGTACATTATTATTGGCATACCCACATATACACCACAGATTTACTTCTCCATCCTCCATCATGATTTTATATGTAAGCTTAAGCCGAAGTAAAAACGTTATTCGTTAACTTCGCGCTACAAAATTTGCGTTTTACATTTAACTAGCTGTTCCCGCGCTGCTTCATCCGCATGAAATTATAAAAACTTTATTTTGTTGTTTACATTTGTCAAATTCTCAATTGCAAATGTCAAAATACCAATTATCTTACCATGGCAACCTTGCTTCTTGATGTTGGCAGCTCGTATCGTATAGTCTCTTTCCCTCATTTAGGTTTTTATTCAAAGTATTTTATTTACCCCCTAAGTTTAATGGCATGAAAATATGTAGCCTAAAGCGTGACGAAAGTGTAGGGCTTTTTATTGAAAAAAGAATTATTCAAAAATGTGCTGTATTTGTTGACATCTTAGGCAACAAAGAAGTGTTTGTTTAGCTTCATTATAATAGTATTTACATCTGTTCAACAACTAAATTGGTAAAAGCGTTATATACAAGCGTTGTCGGATACTTGATAACGCGATCAAAACGAGTATGGAGACATCGAAAGTTTAGATAGATGGATGTTTATTGAAGTTTATAGCATAAAAGGCTGAACGGATTTTGATGAAATTTGGTACATGTAGAGTATAGTTTGGAAAAACACATAGTAAATGCATTTTTTTTAATTCCAAGCGGAGGGAGTCGCGTGCGAATGGTAATATGACTGTAAAGTATGAAATGTGGTAAGTTCGCTCACCGCTCCACAGTGGTGAGGTTGTACCCATAGAGGCAGTGCAGCTCTACTCCCGGCGCGGAAGCGTCACGGGAGTACCGCTCCGTGTCCTTTCGCATCTCCCACGCTGTCGGCATCTCCATGTCGCTGCAGACATTTAAGAAATATAGACTAGACAGTTTGTGTGAAACTAGAAAGTGTTAGGAATGAATGTGGATGGCTACAAAGGAAGAGGAAGACCGAAGAAAGTATGGATGGGTTGTGTGAACGAGGATATGCTTAAGAAAGGACTGGATTAAGATGACGGCTGATAGAGATGTATGGAAGAGCAGCACATACTGTGCCGACCCTCCATAAGGGATAAGGGCAAGTGGATGATGAGAGTAGACAATGAATTTTTGTGGTAACTTATTAAAAAGGTACTATATTAGTCAAGTTTAGTACGTCTACTCATGTTCTTGTTTTGACATGTTAAACATTTTTATAAAATTACGATAAGCTGCATCTTTTGATGAATAAACTAAACAGTGTCACCTATTTGCAACGCATATAAATACAAATTAATTATATTAAAATGTGGTTTTGAGGACCTATTAATGGAAGCGTTAGTTGATTCCGGCTCGCCCCCAGTAATACCACGACCACACAGAAGACAGGCGTCAAATGGAAGCAAATCCGTGTTTCGTCTGATGTGAGTGTGGTGCCGGAGGCCTAATTTAAGTCCCTTTCTCTTTACCACCCTTTTCTCATAAGGAATGGATGGGAAGGGGAAGTGGATTTGACGGTGGAGGAGATGCATAGGAAGGGAAAATATTCTCTTTATGTGCGTTTTCTCCTCCGTCGGATAAGGGTCGGCAACGCATCTGCAAATGCGGATGTCTATGGGCAGCGGTCGCTTCGCCATTTTATCGGATTCAGGTGGCCGCTTGCTGGTTTGCCACCTTATAATATAAAAAAAACTAGAGGAAGGTTTACATGTATAATATAATAGAGAAATACTAATATTTTTATAGGCTTCTTAAGTGATAAACACATTTTTAAAGCCAGGGCGGAAAACTTGTATTTGAGTGATACTAACGTGAACAACTTCTCCAAATGTTGTATAGTGTAGTTGAACTTATCAGTCTGCACGAGCACGTCGTCGGCTCGCCACACCAGCGGCGAGGGCAGCAGCCACGCCAGCGACGGGCAGGTCACTTGCTCCAGTCGCATCGTGCTCTGACTTAACATGGATGAACCTAAGTCGTCGCCTGGAAATCGTAACTAGAATCGTTAATAAAGGGCGTGGTAAAAATTTATTTTAGGACTAGATTACTAATATTAGTTAACTCAGGTAATCTATACTATTATAATAAAGCGTAAACACACACTTCTTTGTTGCCTAAGATGTCAGCAATCACAGCATATTTTTGAATAACTCTTTTTTTAGTAAAAATCCCTACACTTACGTCACGCTTTAGACTTTATATTTTCACGCTGTTAAACTTAGGGGTAAATATTTTGGATAAAAACCCTCATGTGGGAAAGAGACCAGAAGTTTTTGCCAACATCTAGGAAGCAAGGTTGTCATGGTTTGACATCATGATCATTTTGATATTTGCAATTTATAATTTGTGCAAATGTGAACAATAAAATGACATTTTTATAATTTTATGCGGATGAAGTCGCATAGGAACAGCTAGTCTGTAAATAAAAAGTCAAAAATGCTTGTCAGTTGGTCGTTTTGTACTGTTTTATACCTGATGCCCTAGTTAATTGAATATTACAATTCTTGTATGTATTTAAATGTTTATGTACAACGCACACATGTGTACGAGAACAATGTATAATAAATCTGAACACAAATGACTATTTACTACTATTGAAACATACTTTAAAGTCTAGGACAGAGTAATGTAGGTTAAAAAATAAATCGGTCAATACTTTTTTGTAACAAGGTTGTTATGTAATGAAATATGTTTGGAAATCGGAAATGTCCTGATAAATAAGATAATTTATTATCAATATTAATTATGATAGTTGACAAAGACCTAGAATATTCGCAAAAGTTTATCAGGGATTTTTGAAGATAAATTTAAATATCTCACCCCCTTGAACGAAAATATGAACATATTTTCAAGGGAATCGCCAGTGAGATAGGCGTTGTCCCTTGTCAAACTAAAGAAACATGTAATAGGTAGAAAATAAACATTACTTCGAATAAGGTTACATTTATCGTATCTTTAGACCTAGACTAGGAAAACTGGGCACACCCATACTTGTATATCAACACTATCGCCATCTCTGTTTGTTTCAAACGAAACAAGAAGGACAGCAATATCGTATTTATAATTACAATAGACCGTTGTATTCGCACTCAGCAACAAATAACTTTATCACAATCAGTGCAATGGATTAAGATTATTTTAATTACATAAGTTTTTAGTCATTTTTGGTATTGTAATAAAAATTCCATGTTTTAGAAATTGATTACTACGTATTTTCTATATTATTTGTAACTCTTAATTTATGTCATGCACAATTTAAAGAACAATGCAATTCACAAAACAACAAAACCGCAACTCATCGTTTTATGGAAAAACATGAAAGAACAAAATAAGGAAAATAGGGCATTGTTAGTTGTAATGCTTTTCCAATAAATATAGGAGTAACTTGCAACTTAGAAAACTGATTTCTAATTAAAGCGAGCGCATCCTTTGATTAAACTATCGCATAACTGTTGTGCGATTGTAGATTGTCGATTCTTTCGCAGTCTATTCAACTGTTTAGTTGCACAAGTAAAAATCGAGTAGTGTAGTGTGCGCACCTCCATATAAGCTGATAGCAATCAAAGCGCGACTAAACAGTTTTGCCAATGTTGTGCGCGCGTAATAATAAATAGTAGTAAAATAATTAAGTGGTTTTTTATGTGAATAAGCTACCGTAAAAGTTTTGATGTATTTAAAGAAAATATGGAAAATTTGTTTACGTTTGACAAATAGAACTTGAAAGTTCTTCAATCTCAACTGAGACGTGGTATTTTCTTATGGCAGTAAACTAATAATTAGGCGACTTTAAGTAAACGTCCTAAAGTAAAACCCCTGAATATTCACTACTTGCCACATTCTAGTTCATTTCATCACCAGCTCACTATACGTCCCCACTGAGGGGCTCGGAGCCTACCCTAAGTAAGGGTGACTAGGCCACAGTCAACCACGCTGGCCTACTGCAGGTTGGTTGACTTCACACCTATCTTTGAATTTCTTTGCCGATATGTGCAGGCATCACGATGTTTTCCTTCACCGTAAGAACGTCGGGTAAATTATGTACATATGAAAATTCGAAATATCGAAAATCACATCGGTACGGCGGGATTCGAACCCAAGACCTGTAGATTACAAGTCAAGTGCTTAAACCACTGAGCCACCGAAGTTCATTTATGTATACAATAAAGGATTATGTATAACTTAAAAACTATACTATGTTTACAATAAACATCATTCCGTTAAACAATGTAACAGTTAAATGGTATTTAAAAATATCGAAAGTTGTTTATTTGAAGAAAATTGACTGTTCCTATTCATGTATTGCAATCATTGCTTATTACTTTAAAGTAATTTAGCATTCAATAATTACATTAAAATCAGAATTATTTAAAAAGATATGTAATTTATCTATTTAAAGAATGATTGATAGACTAGCTGTTGCCGCGACTTCGCCCGCGTATAATTTAAATGATAATAAAAATGAGTAGCCTATGTGTTCTTCCAGACTATCCTCTACATCTATACCATATTTCATTCAAATCCGTTCACCCGTTTAGGCTACAAACTCTAACATCTATCTATTCATCCATCCATGTAAACGTTCGCATTTATAATATTAGTATGAAGTACGATTTGGCTGTCTTTAATTTAAAAAAAATCGATGGCTCCTACGTAAAGTACCGTATGTTTGAATTGCAAATTTTGCAAGATAAAACTTTGAACAATAGTGTTAATTAGGATTTGTCAAACATGAACTTATGATACACAACTAAGGCCTACAGTTGTTTTTCTTTATAACGCTTTTTTAGATTTAAAAGGTAAAAATCAAGTTAAAAAAAAAACATAAAAAACGATGAAAACCGTGAAATTGTGGCTTTGATAGTCTACATAGGAGCCATTAATTTTATTATAACTTTAAGAGTTTTTTGTCAAAGTCTCCTTGTGGTCAAGTTTAAATATTTCCTAACCATATAAGAAAAGATACCATAGTAAGCGAGCGTTCGCACGGACGCGAAAACGCTAGGCGGTAACTATGTGTCAAAATAGAACGTATGGGATTGTATGAAGCTGTTCATAC